GGGGGGGGGGGGGGGAGGAAGGTTGGCTTCGCATCTGCGGACCTCCCCCCCCTCAAATAATCCTGGATCCGCCCCCGTGAAGGAAAGATGCATATAATGTTTTATTCAAAATACTGTGTGAGCATTTTGCTTTAAATTAATATTATTTAGTAATTAAATTATATACTAGTAATTGATTTAAAGTAGCCTACAATTTCTATTTCAATTTTTTAAATAATTTTGATAGTCTGCTACTACTCAAATAACCATAATATTCAATGTAATCACCTCGGTACCTGTATACTTCAAATCCATGGTTATGTGTTTCTCAAAGTTTTCAATGGATTTGGCATTATAGGTGGGCGTAAACCTTGGCAAAGAATCCTGCTGTATGGTCCTCCAGGCACTGGCAAAAGTCGACTAGCTCAGTTTCATCAGAAATCAGGTCTGGCTTCTAGTGTCTCAAACTCAGATCTCATTTCAAGTTAGGTTGGCGAGAGGATCAAAGAACCGTTTCAGCATGCTGCAAGCCAGGGAAGAAGATCGGTCGTGTTTATTGATGAAATTGACAGCGTGTGTAGCAAGAGGAGCTCACATGAGGAAGAGCACACACGTCAAGTGAAAACGGAACTTTTGAAACAGATGGAGGGAGCAGACAGTTCTGGAAGTTCTGAAAGAATATTCCTTCTATGTACATGTAACAAACTGTCCCTGGGAGCTGGGTCCTGCTTTCCTGAAGAGATTTCAGAAACGCATAGTCCGAAGGTTCAATAGTCAGAAGGTTCATTGGACCGAAAGTTCACTATAGGCCTAAAACCTTCGGACCAACGAACCCTTGACAAAAAACTGATGAAAATGCTACGTATTTTTTTGGACCAATGAACATTAGGACTATCGAAACGCCCCCCTCCCCCTATTTATTTGATACTTTGAATATTGTATAGACAAAAATACTTTTTAATTTCATATGAATGGCATTGGATATAGTTCCTTAACACGTAATGGATTTTGGACAGTGCATTTGCACCAGTAGATAATGCAATTCATCACCGATGAAGGAAATTTTCTTTATTAATTTAATTAGACTTCTATAAAGGTTAAGTCTGTTGAAATAAGAGTAGGCCTACTAGTACATATTCAATAGGATCAATTGGCTATTGTGTAAAACAATTTGATATCTGGCTAATCAGCCCTCTTTATGGTCTGTTTCAGAATAAAACGAGGTTGATTTTTTAAGAAAATGTAAGACATTTGAATTTAGGTATTTGTATATCAAAGTAAACATCTTGTGTAAAAGCCCATGTGTGCAATAAAAAAAAACACTTTATAATGGAGAAAATTTTACAACACACAACTAACCGATTGTTTCGGCGTAACCGTTACTATGCTTAATGACGTCATGATCAACTATAATCTTGATTCTTATCTATTAGATCTGTATATCAATGGCTGGGTTTAATCATTAATATCATAAAAATATTTTTTTAATTTTAATTTTTTTAATTACTCGGAAACTTGTTGTTACTTAGCGAGTAATAAAACATTCCTTTGTTTTCAATTCATTGTACAGTTTATAATTTTATCCTTGCGACGCTTTGATGTAGGAAAATCATCTGTGACGTCACACATGTCACTATAGTTGCCATATATCTAAGTGATATTGCAAAGCAGCAAGATGAGTTGTCTATGCCTTTGTTTTAAAAGTCTGAAGTCGATGCGAGTAGATGATGGAACGATTAATTCTATATATGAAAAACAGCGCACAAGACGCAGAGAAGATGAAGACATTGTCTTGAATTCAGACATTTTTCGTGCTGTGTCAAGAGACGGAGAGGTCCCGCTGGAGAAGTTCAAGCGCCCAATGAGAGAGTTCGAAGCTGGGTGTGGTCGTCCAGTGCAGCAGATGGACCCCAAGGCCACACTTCATTCGACCTCCTCAGAGAGTGAATTTATTCCATATCGTATGACGCCCATAGAAAAAGCGACAGATGAAAAAGTTCTGCCTAAGCCAACTTCACCTGCGTCTTCAAACTTTGAGCCCAAAGCATCTGGCGCCGAACGTGTTGTGTTACGACCTCCAGGTAATAAAAGTGCCACCTTAAACGAAGACCAGAATATGCAGGGTCCTAATGCCAAAAGCTTAGCATTTTCCACGTCGAAGAATTCAAAATTTGCGACACCTAAAAGCATGGCACATAGAAATCAGGTGGGGGGTCAGCCAAACGCACCAAACATGACCAGCACCATGCCATCAAGTTTCCCAGAGTCACAGGTCGCCCCACATGCCCAGAAACTGCTGGCAGACCTGCAAAAGGAGCTTACAGCAGACATAAGCAAATTACTGGAACCGGCTCCTTTCCAGTCAGCCCGGCCAAAAACAAAGAAGCCGGGAAACCTCTCGTCCATTTTCGACACAGCGACTGCTCCTACACAGGTATACCATTTACCAGATGGACACCTCCATGAAGTCCACGTAAGTCCTTATGAATTCGAGCGGCCGACCAAGCCAAAGAAAACTGCAAAGCAGCATTTGAAAAATATCAAGAAGAACCTCTTTCAGCTCAATCCTATTCCCAGTGGAAAAAAGAAAAAGCGTTTAGAAGACGGCCTGGTTTTCACAGAGCATCCTCTGAATCAAATGCCAAAACTGACGCCTCAGATGTACGAGGCAATTTGCCCAGCATTACCCGGTGCTGTCCCCGAGACAATGAAATGTTCCCGTGTCGAGACACATCTTCATGATGCTAGTCAGTCAATAAGGTATGCAACTAATACGCTAATATAAGTTACAGTGCTTTAGTCTTGTGAATATAGTTTTACTACTACAATTACTACCACTACTATTTTGTTTGTTTGCACACGAGTTTATTATTTGCCCTTTTCCTATTATGTACATGTATTTTGTTTGCAGTGTTATCAGATGTCACTTAAACTTTTAATGATTTTTCTGTTTTGGATATGCACGAATGTGCAGTTAACTAAGATATTATATTTTCAGACCCGAGTCTGGCTGTAAATCAGAAACAAAGTTCTCTGAGCTCCTCGAGCCCCAACGTTCACCTACTGCCAGTATAACCGATGAACCCGATGAGATCAGCAGTTCCTGCTTTAGGTAAACCTTATTTTGTAATAATCTTTTTTTTTCGTTTTTTTAAATAACAATTCTGATTAATGAGAATATAAACGGTGTTTGATTATTTTTCCAGTTTTGTTCTCATCATAAGCTATTATTCTTTATTATTCATCACACAAAAAATATCTTCACGCTCACAAAAATCACATAAACATCAATCATGTATAATTGTTTTTGGTATTTTCTAGACCTCGACCTAGTGAGAAAGCGTCACAAGCAAGTCACTTTAATGTGACCTTGCCAAACTGTCCCCAGTACGACCAGGACCTCAGCCTGGCACCGTACCTGCCGAAAGCTCCCAGACCCGAGGCACCCCGTGCTGAAACGCCAACCTGTCCTAGCTCCACCAAGCGACCTAAGTTTCGATTTCCTTGGCAAAAGAAAAGAGGCGTGGCCCCCCTTCAAGTCAGTCCCAGCGAAAAGCCCGCAGAAGCTGCGAAACCCAAACGCCGCAGACCACAAACCCCCTTCTGGAGAAAGAGAAGGGATGACATAAGTTCATAGACACACTGA